CCGACATACTTTCTGATGTCGCATTAGATAAATAACAGCACAACACGCGATCATTACAGCAATCCTATCATATCATTCTATCCAGATCTCCCCCTTCAGCTCATCTCTACAACATCTTAAGCCATTTACCACAGTTCACAAAACTCTAAGAAAAAAAACATTTCCCCCATCATACTGTCACCGCGGCGTCAACTCTATTTGATGCCCACCGTGTTCTCTGGGATCAAAGACCACCTCAGAAAGTAACGACACGTCCGTGTGTAGCCCCAGACATTTATTATGACGGCGGTGTGTGTGAATGGCCAGGCACGAGTGGACACGCGGGGCAGTTAGGTCAGGCCGAAGACGTTCATAGACAATATAGAATGCCCAGCATTCTGTCGAGATGACGAATCAATAATACGTCTAATTCAGGGGCCGGCAACCTGTTCTAGCAGATATATTTTTAAGAGCAATTGTTTCTAATACATTCACAATAAAAGTTATACTTCTGTTCTGTTGATACCGGGCTTTAATTAAACAAATGTTACAATTCTGCCACTCGATCTTGTAACAGTATCTTATATATAAAGTTAAAAAAGAGCCGTGTATATTTATTCAAAGAGCCGAGTACGGCTCTGGAGACGCTGTCTGCTGACCATCAGTCCAAATAAATTAACGGGAATATTTTCTATTTTACTATTATTATTATTTCATCAGACTGTATGTAAAACAGTGTATATAGTAGATCCTAGAGTATGTAGGGAATATGCGTATATGGTAGATCCTAGAGTAGGTACGAAATATGCGTATATGGTAGATCCTAGAGTATGTAGGGAATATGCGTATATGGTAGATCCTAGAGTAGGTACGAAATATGCGTATATGGTAGATCCTAGAGTATGTAGGGAATATGCGTATATGGTAGATCCTAGAGTAGGTAGGGAATATGCGTATATGGTAGATCCTAGAGTATGTAGGGAATATGCGTATATGGTAGATCCTAGAGTATGTAGGGAATATGCGTATATGGTAGATCCTAGAGTATGTAGGGAATATGCGTATATGGTAGATCCTAGAGTAGGTAAGGAATATGCGACGTTGTTGTAACACGTAACAGGTGTAATTGTAGTGCCTTAGTTCGTCACGCCGTATAGGTGCGAAGAAACGCCAGTCACGCATGACTAGATACGCTCTTGAAATTGAAAAAAAAAAATCACTACCACAACCCGTGTGCTTGTGTTACAGACGAGAAGATTTATTTTTACATTGGCCGACTTTATGTCAGACGCACATATCTTTTCCTAGACATCACGAACCTTATGAGCTAACCTCGGTATTCGAAGATGAAAAGTGTGCACTACACGTTACAAGGCATTGGACAAATGCTAACTAGGTCCTTGAAAACATTCTTTCAGAAACCTATTATAAATTTGTATAGCTTCCGATTGTATTCATTTTACAAGTGGCCGACAATGAACTCAACCAAAAATAGGTGTGTTAGGTCGTTAGTTGTATTGTAATATCAAGTTTACCGATAAGAGTCAGAAGTAGGATTAGAGGTAAGATTAGCGTTGATATTGGCACTGTAAAGCTTACTACCAAAGACCTAACACCCCTTGTTAAAGAGGGTTCCATTAAAGTGGCATCAGTGTTTCTTTCATACTTTTTTCTCGGTGGGGGGGGGGGGGGGGGCACTTGATATTCTGGGGGGAGGGGGTGGCTGCACTTGATATTTTCGGGTGGGGGGTGGTCACTTGTAAAATTTTATATTTTCTACATACATTCCATTCGGGGGGGGGGGGGGGCTTGGAGATACCTTGAGGAAATTCCGAGTGGTACTATCAGACACTGAAACGTGTGAAATACGACCTTACATATCTACGTTCCCAACACAAACGAGCATTTACTTAGACATGATGAGAACCACTGCTTTACCACCAATGTTCGACACGGCAATCTCTAACTGCATGTTAACTTTTGCTCTTTCCACACACACAAAAATTATTATACATGAGAATCTAAAGCATCAGCACGTTATTTTGACACTATTCAGCTAAAATATTGAATAATATATGAACCCTCCATTAAACCTTGCCCGGCGAACGGTCTGGAAAGCCAGAAAATGATCGGATAACCGACTCTTCACAGACAGACACGGATGGCAGACGCCCTCCCATGTCCAGATAATCACGCACGGCTTGCCCAAACACGATCTCCGGCATAAATGAGCACTTAATGGCGTAGTCCTTGCGTAATACGTCACCATTACGTGCCCACACAAAGACTGTCTACAGTGACCGCTCTGTTGACGTCCGTCTTTTCATTGGGCGAGTTAAAAATAGAGATCTCTCATACATTGGTAATTTGATTTCACGGAACAAATAGTAAGATGAGGAGAAAATGCTGATTCTAAAAGTTGTAAAAATGATAACGTTGACATTTTCCAGCAGACGTTTTGGTAAATCGATAAACATCAATTATTTTGTTTACTCTTGGGATAGAATTTTAATTGCTTATTAAATGGACATTCGTTGGGAACTTAAAAGCTGAAATGACTTTGAAAATATTTTTTTTTTAAACGCATCCTGCTGTAATTTAAACTCTTTAAGGTCCAAGTAATATTATATTTCGGTTTTTATAAAAGGTCAGTGTTCTAATCAGGATTATGGTCAGGTAGAAAGACTTTCAAAATATAGCCTCGAATATGTCCTTAACACATTAATTGCGTTTATATAATCCAGTCTAACATATCAACTGCAGCAAAAATCAGACAACTGCTAGTTTGTTCTTGGATGGAACAAACTTATGGAAGTTTTAATCAGACACTAGTTATAACGTGGACCGAACTGATCAAATACAAACACGGGCCAACCTGATCAAATACAAACACGGGCCAACCTGATCAAATACAAACATGGGCCAACCTGATCAAATACAAACACGGGCCAACCTGATCAAATACAAATACGGGCCAACCTGATCAAATACAAACACGGGCCAACCTGATCAAATACAAAAACAGGTCAACCTGATCAAATGCAAACACGGGCCAACCCGATCAAACTACAAACCTGGGCCAACCCGATTAAACTACAAACCTGGGCCAACCCGATCAAACGATAAACATGGGCCAACCCGATCAAACTACAAACCTGGGCCAACCCGATCAAACTACAAACCTGGGCCAACCCGATCAAACGATAAACATGGGCCAACCCGATAAAACCTGATCAAATACAAACATAGGCCAACCTGATCAAATACAAACATGGGCCAACCTGATCAAATACAAACATGGACCAACCCGATCAAACTACAAACCTGGGCCAACCCGATCAAAACGATAAACATGGGCCAACCCGATGAAACGACAAACATGGGTCAACTCGATCAAACTACAAACATATGCCAACCCGATCAAACTACAAACATATGCCAACCTGATCAAATACAAACACAGGATAACCTGATCAAACTACAAACAAGATGTTCTTACTAGTCACATTTCAAGCTACAAATACCGGCCAACTCGATCTCCTCTTTAACCCAACCCGATCAAACTACAAACACCGGGTCTCAACCCGTCACACAAGTTACGTCTTGGCGATCTTCTCGCACAGATCTAAAAAGTGGGTCAGGTTTTCTATACACAGCTCTCCTCTACCTAACCGGGGTGTTACGCCTCATTAGGTCGGCCCCTACAAAAGGTGAGACAAGACCTAATTACGTCACCTCTGCCGTTTGATAGCGGTGCCCACAACAACACGCGCCAGTCAGCACCACGTGTAGCCAAGGCCGATACTGACCGCGGTCACTGGCAGGAGATAATGACGGTAAAGCCGCGGTTGTCGACAGGGACAGTTCCCACCGTTTTGGTGCCCGGGGATATGGGACTCCCGTGTCACACTGGACTCCCTTTGTCAAGGCCGGGGATGTGTGCAGGAGAGGGGTGGGTGGGGGATTCTTTTTTTTATTAATGGGATTTTTTTTCTCTTCACAACCCAGCTTCCTCGGCCTCTCCCCCTAAAGTGTGTCCCCACCCCTCCCTCCTCCAGTCTGTAACCAGTGTCTGACGAAAGATTTTAACAATGTGTAGCACGGCCGTGCTAATAACAGGGACGGCACTTCAGGCTTAAAACCCTCAGACATTCCAGTCTCGCCTTGCTCCACGTTAACAGACAGGCACGAATATATATTTTTTTTATTCAGTGTTAATTAAAGAAAAACGAAAATTGAAGTGTAAAATATTTGTTTCAAATTCCCTTAAAATGAAAAGCATTGGGTCTACTAGTCACGACACTATCTATATTTATGGCAACACAAAACTAAAATCAACGTGAGACCCTGATATAGCCCTACTATCTCAAAACCTTACTAACACTAAAAATCTTTCTCTAACGGCTGCTATGAAAACTAGAATATGATTGTTTAATTAAGCCATACCACTATAGTCTATAGAGATAAACCGTATTTTTTTTCACTATACAGACTATGTTATCTTAACCTACTTAACTTTATTAAAGATCAAATATCTACAAAGTTCTCCCATGACTCATAGGGAGATAACTTGCCATATTTAAAATGTAAACAGTACACACTAAAGGGTGTATGGCAAAGTACTAAACTGAACTCAACAGGGAGTATACTGAATGTCAATGAATAGAATGGCTGTAAAGGTTCTTCATGAAAAGTTTGTAAAAAAAAAATTATGTGGGTTAAGCTAATTTCAATACACTCCACCAACACCCTTGCCCCCACAGCATTTAATACAACAAGAGTAAAGACAGATAAAATAAAATAGACACCTATAAGAAAAGTATCCAAGTGTTTATCATTCAAACAAGAATGTCAACAAATGGGTATGTGTATAGCCAAAACAGCTGTGTAAATGGAATAACCAACTACATCTAGTTGAACCAGCAATGTACCCTTTACACTCAGTGTAAATGTCTAGCCTAATAACCTGGACATTGTCTTTAAAAAAAAAATAAAACCTTGTGATGAAAACAACTACTCACATTTGCTGCATGACATCATTAAGAAAGACACCATCATACAAATCTCTATACTCCAATGGATGCCCATCATTGGCTTTGAATGTTTCCACCTAGAATGAAAATGTTGACCATAGAGAAACAAGAAAAATCACACAAAGTTTAGACAATGTTAAAACAACACAGGTTAGCAACATTTGATGGTGTAAATTACAATAATATTCAGAACTCAATACAGTATGACTATCATAGTGGGTGTTTTTCTACCAGTTAGGTTAATCTAAAGGTAATTATACTATTAAAACAACTTCATCATAGCTTATCAAAAATGTATGTGATTGCATGGCCAAGTGGTAGACAGCACAGCTGCTAACCCTAAGGTCTTGAGTACGGATCCTGAGCTAGAATCTGTATGGGTACCTGAGTAACTTTAATGACTTTATAGAAATTAAAGGCGGCTGGGCATACAAATGACCACATTATCCTTTCAAATGTATATTACAGAAACAAGCAAACTTCACGTTATCTGCCCTGTTCTATAAGCACCAGGCCAGAAAGGGTATTTTTACTTTAAAATCACAAATGAACATAAATTAGTCTGTGATGGATACTTACCCAAAGAACAAGAGGGCATTGCATATAAAGTTTCTCTGGGTCCGCCATCAGACTTTCAATGTAGTAGAGCCCCAGTTATCCTTTAAGTGGCTTTGTGATACATCCATAGCAGAACACATACAACTTTTTTTTTTCTCTTATGTTGCCACTGATGTAAGCTTGAAATCCAAACACAGTTATCCAGCACAATTTTTTTAAACAAGGAAATACACTTGCATGAACATTATCACTTTTCCTTCAAAATTTATAAACAAACTGGATCTTCCCGCAGATGTAGTATCAAAGTATATGTGTTACATACTTCTTTTGATGTGATTTAAGATGTTAATCCAGCAATTCAGTTTTTAGCCCACTATAGAAATATACGGTATATAGATCTAGACACAATTCTAAAAATCATATTAGTAAGGACCTATCAGATGTTTTTAATAAAGCAATGTGATCCCAAACAGGATAAGTCATAAGTTAATAGTAATATGTAAGCCCATTATTATAATTTCAAAAGAATTTAGAACTACTGTTTATTAAAAATATTAGTGATTGGTAGGCATAATAATACTGACATCAACAATGTCAAATAAATGAATGACATAATGCCATAAGCCTCGTTAATTAATAATTAATTAAAACATTAATTGTAGGTGTAGGCTTAGTGTAAGTCACTGTAAGTGTAAGTCTGCATGGAGATAATCGATTAGTTTTAAATTTGTAATGTAGGTTTCACATTTATCAGTACAAAATGTAATTAACTAGATATCTAGATCTAGATATAGATTCTCTAGATCTTGACTAGATCTAGATCTAGTTAAGTTTAGTAGTAGTTGAGTAGTCTAGAGCTAGTCTAGTAGATCTATACTTCACATTATTCAGAAAGTTCAGCCTAGACCTCTAGATTTCAAATAGTCTATCTAATCCAGATCTAGATGATCTAGATTTGCTGATTGATTTAGAGATCTAGATGTCTAGATTATAATTCTAGATCTAGATCTAGAATCTAGATCTAGTTTTTTTTTCTAGAATCTAGTCTAGAGTTGTCTAGTTTTTTCCAAGTTCTAGACTACAAACTACAAATAAACAGTAACGTAAAACCTTTCTAAACTACCAACTAACTTAAAGTCTTAGATCTAGATCTAGTTCTTAACTAAACTAAAAGTAAAACTGACCAACACTAACATAAAATTAAAAATAGACCAAACTTGAAACTAGATTCTAGACTAATTCTGCTAAAAATTACTTTTAAAAAGAAGCCTAGACTAGAATTTGGATTCTAGTTTAAAATTTTTAACTAAACACACAACTAACGCACGCAAATAACGGTAGTCCCTTGAATTCACAATGAAAAAGAATTAACGACACACTTCGCAATAAAAATGAACCTTAAGTTAACAAGAAATTACATGTCCCTCCTAACGTGTGTGCCATGATAACAACATTGAATGCACACTGGTGGGCACGCGAGTAGAGAGCATAGTTAGTTACACACACGCCATTATGTGCCTCTCAGCCAATCAAATGCAGCGATACGTTTGTGTTTGGAAACGCGGGGTGTGTATTGTTGGATTGGATTAAGCGAAGATCTTTGCAACAGACTTAATTTTAAACTTATTAAAACTAATAATAATAATATAACACAAAACAGTTAACTGTCATAAAACTATCATGGATATGAAATTAAACAAGTATGAAACATAATAAATACATTCCTCAAAGAAAAAGCAAGCTTTAAAATGCAATTGATTCCTAATTAATTTTAAAGTATAATAAAGTAGCACTATTACTATTAGTATGATTAGTCTAATAGGGCTATTTTTATACCTATCTGGAATTAACAGTTATACTTGTGCATACAGACAACCAATATTTGCACTGTGTCTGTTTGTAAAATAGTGAAGTGCTCAACAGCTATTTTAGTTTATTCCCCTTAACATGTGTTTGATAGTTTTCAGTTGGTGATTTAAGATCATTATTATAAGTCTAACTTAACCATCTATCCAATAATAAACTTTTTTTGTTCAAAGTAGATAGATCTAAATAGTGCATGGTAGAACTGTCACTGGTAATGACTTTCTAAAGTCTTATGGTTTATATGAGAACTATTTAATGTAGGCCTAAACTCTAAACACTAATACAATAAACAAAAAATGCACAAATCTTCTTAGAATGCAGATTTTAATGTCATGTATTACAATTGTATTTGTAAATGACAGATGAAGAACATCTCATAATGGCATTTAACAAAGAGACAAATCATAATGCCCTAAATTAAAATAACATAGTCCTACCTCCATTAAATCTGTAGTGCATTGAGTAATTAAAAACATTTAAATAAATGTTGATAGTAGGTACTTCTTTAAATGCATTGAAAAGTCAGCTGCTCATTCTTATTTTAATTCTAGCTCAGTCATATTCACTAACAATATTCCCTGAATCATTGCACATAAAAGTTTACTAAATACAAAACATTCAACTTTCATAAACATGATAATTAAACAATCCTGAAGGTTTTACTTGACTAAATCAGGAACCTCTTCAGCTTTTGGAAAACTCTTTTGGGTGCCAGTTTTTGTTACGCTCACTGCAGCTATCTGGCCTGCTCTTTGAATCATCTCTGGCACAGTTAAGGTGGGTCGGTTGGTCAGGAAAAATGCAAGGGAACCAATAAAAGAATCACCAGCTCCCTAGATAAAAATAAATATATATTTTTGGAATCCAATGACAAAGAAAAATGACATGTGAGATAAAGTTTTATAATTAGGTTTTAGTTTGAAAAACCTAGGCTATAGGCAATAGCAGGACTGGAAAAAAATATATATACCCTCCCTCCTCCCAGCATAGACTTATCACATGGTAGTTAGCCCCTGGCTATAGGCCTACATTAATGTTGGTTAATGCAGGCTATGGGAGGTAATAACATATTCTTCTATAATGAATAATGTAAGAGATAATAATTATAACCCCTGGATTTTTAATCAGTATTGTGTATTTAGTATCAATTGCCCCCTGAATTTTTAATCAGTATTGTGTTTTTAGTATCAATTGTATTTTTATTTATCAGCTTAATATTTACTTTAGTTTGTAAATTACAAAATCAGCTGTAAAAACCACATTACTAAAATAAATTGCTTAGTATTATGTACAATGACATGGTTTTAGTTACTTATCCCTTAACTATAAAATATATCAAATAAAGATTGTGGTTCTACAAAATATCTACTATATCTATGTATGGTTTGTTAAAAACCATTAATACAACTGGCTTACACATACTTTCTTTAAAGACAAAATAAGCTTCAACATATTTCATAGTGAATATTAACTTTTGTAGGATGGCGTTGCCTAGTGGTGGAGAGCTAGCTGCTAATCTGAAAGTCCAGAGTCTGCCCAGCTCTGATGGGTACCTGACTCACATTAGGGAAACAGGCGGCTGGGAATATCGCTGATAACACAATTCCTTTGTCTGCTGAAGTCATTGAAACTGATGAAGTCTAAATTTATCTGCCTTATGTGTCTTGGGCACAAATGGACAAAGATGATGATGATTAACTTTTCAGAGAACTGCGTAATTTTGAGAACATTATTTCATAACTCAATTCTGTCATAACTTAATGGGGGGGGTCCTAGAAATGTTATATAAGAGATGACGCTCAGTTTTGTTGCATTACACCAGGTTGGCAGTTGGGTTATAAACGTCATATTTTTTTGTTTTATAAAATACGTGCATGAATACTCCTCCCACAAAAATGGGAATGTAAAAACAGTACAATACTTACTGTTGTATCAACAGCTGCCACTGGTACAGTAGGTATATGAATAGGGGCATCATCTTTAGAGGCTTGGTACACAGCCCCTTTCTCACCAAGTGTTATAATGACTGATTTGCATCCTTTTGAATTTATGAACTGCCCGCAAGCCTCTTGAGCACTTTCTGGACTGTTTACATTCATTCCCAATAAAGTGGAAGCCTAGAGAGAAACATTTAAGCATTACCGAAACTATTTCAAATTAATGGATAAATCAAAACAAAGTGCAACCTATTAAACAGATACTTAAATAGATCATTCTTGAAATTTTCACTAATTAGTATTAAAATCAAGGTTAACTATATTGTTTAACCTAAAATATTTCATTATTGTATATTGTTTCAATTTAATTGTGGTTTAATTAAAATCGAAGTACATATATTAATTCTAACACTATTTATAAAACATAACAAACCTAAATATTTTGTTAGTATAGTAGTATATTATTATTATTAAACCAACAAACCTCAGTTTCATTAGGACAAAAGATATCAGGCACTGTGAAAAATTCTGGATCAATGTCTTTTGGTGGGGCGGGAGCAGGATTAAAAATGGTCACCACTAGTAGAAGAAAAAACATCAAGCAATGTAAACATCTAATACATTTAAATACTTATTAAAAATAGTTAATTTAAGTTTAGGCCTAGTCTACTTTCATTGGATTTTTTATAAAATAGAAATCACCTACCACCATGCTTTTGTGCAAGTTTTAGGGCATACAGAGTTGTCTCCCTGGGCACTTCATTTTGGCAGACAACAAGTTTTGCTGATTTAATAAGATCCTCTGCTTTCTCTACATCATCGGTCGTCAGTAAATCATTAGCATTTGGTACAATCACAATGCAATTTGAGCCTAGATAGAGAAAAAAGACAGTATACTATTTCATAATTTTAAATAAGTCATACCTAGTTATTTTAAGAAATTTCAAATTTCATAGAAACATTTTTAAAACTACTAGTCTAATTAAAAAAATAAAATTTAGCAAAAGAATTTTGAATAAAAACTTAATAAATACTTTTGTAGGCCTAAAATGTTTAAACATTTTTCAGCAAGTAATCCAATTTTGGTGTTATCACTATAGTAAAATCTATTTCTCAGTTATGATAAGCTGTAATAATTACAATGAGTTCAATGCATAAATTACCATTTTTCATATTGTATTTTAATCAATCTTGAAATCATGGGTACAGTCATTACATATTTACAACACTACACGTGAGCCATGCTTACCATCATCACCAACAAATATACTGGCTATTCCAGTGGCTTCGCCAGTTACTCTTTGAACATGATCTGTTATAAAATTAAGTAAAGTAAAGTATAGTAATATAATGTAGGCGTATATTAATGTAAAATCTATAAAACAAGTGGTCTCACTATATAACCTAATTTAGATAATTAAAAGCTTCAGCAAATCCTTACCACAATTTACATTGTTATCTTTCAGGTTTTCAAAATAGCTCTTTCCAAAGACATCATCTCCAAGCTAAAAAAAAATTAAAATAAAAAAGTAAATTAGTTGGGTCTTTAAGCATATATAATCATTCTAGAGTCTAATCCTTTTGTAGATTGTAAACCTATCTGGTTTTTTTTAAGGAAGCTCACCTTAGCTACCATGGCTGTTTTTGCACCAAGCTTGACAGCAGCGATGCACTGATTGCCTCCCTTACCACCAAAACCTGTTTCAAATTTGTGGCCTGTCAAGGTCTCGCCTTTTTGAGGAAGGTGGGAGACATAGCTGTGACGGAAAAAAAAATGTATAGAATATATAGAAAATATAAAAAAAACTGCATCAAATGTGTCTGTTATTCATTTGTCAATATCTGATCTTCCTGCCCAAACTACCCACCATGATTACAGCAGTAGTCGAACAATGCATTTTTAACATTCATAAAGTAATAGGTTAGGGCTCGCCAAAAGATGACGTCACCTTTAAGTGGGGGGGGGAGGTGTTGACTTGTGTTTATTATGGATGCTAATTTGTTTGAGAAAGTATTTTTACTAGCAATTCTTGGCAATTAGAAAATGTGAGCTGCTTGTCCAGTTATCCTATCCTTGTATTTTGTTATAATATGGAACTTGGTACATTTTTAAATGTGTTGTGTGGTGCTTCATAGACTCAAAGGAAAGGATCTTGTCTAGATAAGCCCTGCCAAAAACTTAACACCCCTGCCACTCAAAAAATATTATAAAGAAGAGGATATGAAACTTGTACTTGTAGATTTTATTTAAGAGGCTGAAATTGGGACTAGTCATTAATAATTTGTATGAAAATGTCTGTTTTTTGTTACCTTTACTTTAACCACTTTAACCCTTGCCTATTCACAATAGCATAGTAGCTCTTTTTATTTTATTTAACAGATCTATAATCTCTTCATCTTTTTTCCTGTCTAGCATTTTACAGATATGTCCGTTAGGGGTGGGGGGCGGTAAAAAAAATTCGGGGGGGGGGGGGGCTAATTATAAATAATTGTCAATTGTCTCTTACTCTGCTCACGACTCACTCACATAAAACACTTAAATTTCCAGGGGGGGTTTAACTATTACTTATTAGGGTATATATATTTTCTATATAAATTATTATTTATAGGGGGGGGGGGGACATTCACACTCTACTTTATTAGTCTCAACTGTCATTCAGTGAGTGATTCAGTGTCTCACTCTGTATTGTCTGTAGTCTGTATGCCACTGTATCACTGTATATACTATATGGCAGTCTACACCTGACACTAGTCATTTAAATTTAATATTATTACTACTATTAACTATTACAGCCAAAAGTTATTCTATTCAAATAAAACGTTTGTATTTATAAACAGAAATATACATGATAATCAATTAGTTTTTCTTTTGTTAAATAATGTTTAGTGAAAACCTCGAAAAGTCTGTTATGCAGCTTCCAACTATAACAACATCCATTGTTAACCTTTGACCGAAACCTGAATTCATTTGGCCAATGAAAAAAGGACATTATGACACACCTCTTCTAAGCCGGTGTAAACATGAAAGAGCAGGCCCTAATTTAATGTCATGCCATTGTTGATTTTTCCATTGGTGAAAGTTAAGTGCGTATAAATCTGGTAGAAGAGGAGGCCTAAAGATTTAACAAGTTAAAAAATATTGCGTATGTTCACAATAGATGTACAATTTGTCATATGAATATACTGGTGCCCTGCAGTGGCGTAGCCAGGATCGTCTCAAGGGGGGGGGGGGTTCCAATTTTTACCCGGGGACAAACTTTTGATTTGCACCCCCCTCAAACTTTCGATTTGCACCCCCCCCCCCCTCAAACTTTCGATTTGCACCCCCCCCCCCTCAAACTTTCGATTTGCACCCCCCCCCCCCTCAAACTTTCGATTTGCACCCCCCTCATACTTTTTATTTATATACCGAGGGGTCTATGGGGGGGTTATGACCCCCCTAACCCCCCCCTGCCTACGCCACTGGTGCCCTGTCAAAACGACCCGGGACAAATCGGCCCCGTCAAAACGGCCCCGTTAATATGACCCCGTCAAATCGACCCCCGACAAAAGGACCCAGTCAAAATAGCCCCGTTAAAAGGCCCCCGACTTATTGGCTCCCATCAAATGGGCTCCCGTTATATTGACTCGCGACATATGGACTCTCGACATATTGGCTCCCGACAAATAGGCTCAGGACATACTGGCTCCCGACAAAGTGGCTCCCGACATATTGGCTCCCGACATAAGGGCTCACAACAAATGGGCTCCCGACAAATGGGCTCATGACATATTGGCTACCGACAAATGGGCTCCCGACATATTGGCTCCAGACATATTGGCTACCGACAAAATGACTCCCGGCATATTGGCTTCAGACAAATGAATGGTATGACCACTATTGGCATAAAAGAAACCATTTTGTCCTACCTCCACTACTACTATAATGTTTATAACCTCTTTTTAATGCCTGAATTAAATTGTTTTTCGTGAACCAACATCAATTCTCAAACAAATCAAGCCCTTATAACAGCTAAGATCTATCAATTCTACATTTTTGATAATGTTTAATTTACAACAGTAAAGATCTGTTGCATAAAAGAGAGCATAGAAGTGAAAATGTACGATATACATGATGTTTACAGGATAACGACATTTTGTTTTGATGACCTACAAGCATACTGGAGGTAGGAAGGTACAGCGTGGACCCTTCTCCCCACACACTGAGTTGTAACAGCCTATAACCGACTCAATTATGGAAGTCATAGATAGATGACCCTTAAATAAATAAATTAAAACATACTATATTTTATAATAGATAAACTAATATGAAAATAAGGCCTGCCGAACAAGAGATGCATACGTTGTATTACATAAGAGTGTTGGATAAGCTAACTCTAAAGAATATTGATGAAGGAGTCCCACTGGCAGGTGTCATATTCAATGAGACCGCTTTGGCGGTAGACTTAGTCTCTACAGAAACGGTATTGTCAGTGGTCCTTTTGTCTGGAGCCAAATTGACAGGAGCCTTTTTGTCGTGAGCAAAAATGACGCTAGCCTAAATGTCGGGAGTTGTAATGACGGGGGCCGTTTTGTGGAGAAACTAAATGGCGGGAGCCTATTTGTCGGGAGTCGTAATGACGGGGGCCGTTTTGTGGAAAAAACTAAATGACGGGAGCCTATTTGTCGGGAGCCTAAATGACGGGAGCCTATTTATCTGGAGCCTTTATGACGGGGTCCATATGTCGCTTGCCATTTTGACGGGGTCAATTTGACGGGGCTCTTATGTCGGGGCCGATTTGTCGGGGTAGTTTTGATGGGGCCGTTTTTTTACTTCTGTGCTCGCTTTTATGCAACAGATCGTTACTGTTCGAAATTAAACATTATCAAAATGTTAGAATTGGTAGATATTAGCTGTTAAGGGCTTGATTTGTTTGTGAATTGATGTTGGTTTATGAAAAACAATTTCATTCAGGCATTAATAAGAGGTTATAGTAGTAGTGGAGGTAGGACAAAAATGGGTACTTTTATGCCAATAGTGGTCATGCCATTCATTTGTCGGGAGCCAATATGTCGGGAGCCCATTTGTCGGTAGCCAATATGTCATGAGCCCATTTGTTGGTACCCCATTTGTTGTAAGCCCTTATGTCGGGAGCCAATATGTCGGGAGCCTAAATGTCGGGAGCTCATTTGTCAGGAGCCTATAATTATGTCGCGAGTCAATATAACGGGAGCCCATTTGACGGGAGCCAATAAGTCGGGTCCCTTTTGACGGGGCTATTTTGACTGGGTCGTTTTGTCGGGGGGTCGATTTGACGGGGTCGTATTAACGGGGCCCTTTTGACGGGGCCGATTTGTCCCGGGCCGTTTTGACAGGGCACCGCAAAATAAAGGCTAAAACTTTCTAACATCACTTTTCAAATTGCAAAAGTGAGTGCATTGTCACACTTTCTGAAACCCCCACAAAGATTCCCCCCCTCCCAAGGAGTGTGACGTTTAAGGAGGTAGTTATGCTTGTTATATATTGTATGTGGGGGGGGGGGGAGACAGAGAGAGTACCTTATATGCCTATTAAATTGCTTTATATCAATTGTATTGCCACCAGCGTTTATTTGCAGTTCTTATCTTTCTCTAGAATACTTCAATGTAGAAGTGTTGGATACTGTGATACATAAAGTCTTAAGGCCTTGCAGTTATCTCCATTATAATGAAGTTGTAACAAGCTATTGTGCACATATTGTATAAACCAATGTAGTAATGGGTGGCTTCTTTATTATATTGGGAAGGGGTAGTAGAGAGCAGTGTTATTTATTAACACAGGCTTTGATTTTATGTATTATTACATTTGTGTTCGTTAGAATGATAAGAGAATTAATTTTTTAAATCAAATAGGATAGAGGGTGGATCAAAAGTTTCCAATGTAGGTGTTACATACTATGTGCTTGGTCCATTAATTGTGATTTGGTAACCATGTAGTAAAAAAAGAAGGCAACACTTGTGGAATAGTAAGATATATATTTTCACTTTTACTGTAAGTTATTATGGTGGTTACATCATTGTATTCTTTAAAATTATATATATATATATATATATATATATATATATATATATAAATAAAACTAGCAGATATTCAAGATAAACATGGTTTGGATATTTTATTATAACATACTTTTAATGATACACAATCAAAAATAAATATGAAATGTATTTATGCTATTTTTAGAAATAGTACATAAATATTACAAATACATTTTTTAAAAACAAAAGCAACTTCTGAGTGAACATTAATTAAGCTTGTTATAAGACATGAGATTATATTACAACTAATTTCTATACTTATTGTGGATGTTCATTATTATTAAACCATGTGTTAAAATTGTTCTTAAAATAATCATGACAAGTTTTGGGTTAAATATGACATGTCTAGATTTAAGTTACACCAAAAAAACTTAAATGTTATTGCTGTCATTTAGATTCTACAAAAATACTTTTGTAACTAAACCAGTAAGTTTTAACTTTTATCCACAACATAGTAAATTTTTCATTTCCACAAATGACTGAACCCAGGCCTATTTAATTTAATCCAAGTAAATATAATAGGAAATAACCATAACATGTACAATAAAAATAATAGGGTAAGCTGCTAATATTATTTTCACTAACATAACAAAAAAAAGCTGCCTTCTCTAACAATTATAGTAGCCATCTTAGTTTAAGATCTTCAAAATATCAAGAACAAAAATTGAAAAGAAAACTTTATCACAGAGTGAGCTTCACATAACTAATCAGCCAACACACTGGTCCAACTTTTCCAAACAAAAAACTTATAAACTGTGCAACAAGTGGAGAAGTACAATTGTGTTATGGTAAATTAAATATACAAGAATAATAAAATTGAGTTTAAAATTTTGCATCAATTTGTTATCATTCAAGAGAAGTAAATCTAAAGGAGGTTGCATACTGAAATTAAATGATAAATAAGGTATAAGATGGTGACATAGAAATGGGGGGGGGGGATGTCTAAGTAAAGAATTATTCTTTAAAAATGGTAAAATTACAGACTCAATGTATTTTAAACTATCTTAATATGAATTTTATCTAGACTCTATATGTAAAATAAAAAATTCATGCATATTATGAAATATTCTATAAGTAAATGTATGATTACCTGAAATTTAAATAATGTTATTTAATTATAAAAACAAAAAGACTAAATCAAATAAATAGTTCCCTAAAATTATTTTAAATAACTTTCATAATAGACATATGAAATTGTAGATTAACAAATTTTATTCACAGAATCTTGCATAACCTTTACTAATATACCAAAATATCTTTCTTTTATTTTTTGACATAATTTTTTAGAAAATTAAACTGAATACAAAATGAAATTGTTCACCCTTATTTTAACATGAACACTTATCAAAACTGTGACCCTTTCCTACACTGCATATCATCTTTTGAACACAAACAATAAAATAAAGTCACCACTGTTTTAGAATGTGCATTTTTTGTGACCTTTTTAAAAATTCATCTGAGAAAAAATGAGAAAAAAAAAAACAAGAATAGTTTAGAGGAAAAAAACCAACACCATTATTATTAATTATTCAAAAACAAAAAAGCATCTAAATTAGTTATGTAAGACTTTTAAAAAGTTTAAACAGCTAAATTAGGTATGAATACATCTAGAAAATAATATATAGATGCAAGTTTGCACTGAATTGTGATGGATGTGTTGTTAATGAGATCTATTTTTTTCAATAAAGTTTAGCTTTAACAATAGAAGAGATTAAATCAATAACCAGTACTGCCATAATGTAAAGATTAGAATAATCAAAATGTAATTGTTCTGTTAATTTTATTTTTAATGAAACAATAGTTATTTACTTAAAATTGTGGTGAACATTATACAAAAACTGTACAATAAAATCAATATATGTTTGTAAAGTGGATTACAGGTGTAATTAAAAGACAAGATTTAAATTGATTTAAAGTAGACTATTACTGAATACAAAATTAAACAACAGAATATCAGGCAAGCCTTCAGATATATAATAAAATTTAAATTCAAAACACATTTCAGTTTGAACGTTTACATGTTTACATATTAAATAAAATAATAATAACACTTAGGTAAGTTATAAAAAAAGGAACAAATAATTATAGAATTAGAATGCCCATTTGTAAATAAAAACACAACCATTTTACTCGGTTTTTTAATATAGGCCTATAATAACATTTGACATTTTTTAAAGAAAAGGGTAAAACTAATAGAGTAATTATGCTTTAAACTAAAAAAAAAAGTAAAACTACAAATATAATTTTTGTCAGTTCATATTTTTCATATCAATATTATAATTTTGTTTAAATGTCTCCATTGAAATGACTTAAAAACCCACAATAGCTTTTAAAATACACAACCTTTTTTAAAAATAACACTTAATGGAAATTTTAAATAAGTACATACATTAATCTGGCTAATTAAATTTTTGTTCTAGTTGGTATGTTAAACACTTCCATTCTGTAAACATTTCAGCAACTTCAGTGTTGTAGCCTGTTACAAGTCAGTGATGAATCTTTGGCCAAAGAGACAGATAAAAAGTTAAAAAATTTTTTTTACAGACAACAGACTCCGCAACACTGCTGACAGTGGTAATTCCCAATATAACATCCCAATAAACTACTAGACAGATATGTCATAAGCTTTTAAACAGGGAAAAGGTGGAACTTAAAGCTTTTAAACTGATGATGCGCTTCTTTCTCATTAAGCTGCATATATGTCGTCCTCCGAGGGCTACACAGATGAGTGAAAATATGGAAAACAGCACAAAAGTTGTATGACTTTCTGAAAAGGCACTGGGCTGGTCCTAAAGTGGAAAGAATAAGAAAAATGTATTAGGATTTGTCAGCTGTGTATAACATAGTAAACATAGAAGAGGTGAGAATCTTATGTTTTAGTTTTGAACTTAATTCCTGTTAAATAAACAAAGGAAATAAGGAGATATTTTGTTTGTAATAGATCAGGCAAAGAATTATTATAAAATGTCATCACCGCAGGATTTACAAAGTGCAATGTCAAAGAGCCCATAGACAAAATGTCAGAACAATTGTTATTTTTTATTAAACAGTGTAGCTGGGAGGTCAATAATGTGGAGCTATTTTGTCAGTCCATTTTCAGATGTTATCACATTATTTTGCTCATAAAATAAATACCAGAAGACCTACCAATGGTGATGATTTGGATTGTAAACTGTGTGACACAACATCTTCACTTTTTCTTACATCAAACTTTGAATCCCCAGTCATCTCCTGAGGAAGGAGTTAAATAAAATCAAACAAAACCCATTATTTGAAAAAAAAAAGTTGTATTGACTACATCAATGTATTCAACTAACATAATTGTGGCTGACTTTAACATTGAAAGAATATTTTTTTTAATAAATCGATCTGGATTCTAATTCAACAATTTTACAGTGGTAAAATAAAAACATGTGTGTTATTTATTCCACTTAGCTGTTAAGATACAGCAAATAAAATAAAATACTTCATTAATTTTTTAAATAAAATCTTTAAAAACCACTTCAATAATATAAAATTACCTTTAAATAAAAGTTTTGGGCATTTAAGCTAAGAAATTTTTAAAAACCTCAAATTACGGGTCAGACTTACTAGTATATCTCTTCCAACATGTCTCCTTTTCCAAAGATACAGGTAAGTCAATAATTCTACATACAGTGGGTGAACTAATGAAACCTCCTCCTGTAAAATAGGTTGAGCTTTTTTAAAAAATCCAACTAGCAAGTTTACTGCTCTCACTCACATCCAACATTTTGAACAATTAAATCAATTGTAATAGATTTGATGTTGAGGTGCTGTAAATTATTTTTGCATTAAAATATTGACCAACTGAATAGATTGTAATAGATCTGATGTTCAAGTGATGTAAATTATTAGTGCTATGAAATAGATGTAAAATAATCATTTTTTTTTTTTTGCAAAACTAGCTGTTTTGAATTTCAATTACAATTTCCCTTTGCAAGAAATAGCTATGTTCTTTATATAATGGGTTTTCATGGTATTCCTTCACTGCATAAAGCAGGAGAATACATCAACTCTCAATGTTTTACTTATTTTTAAACATTATGTTTAAAGATCTGATATCTGTACAAATCAATTACCACTGTAGTCTCCCTCTGGATTGTGATCTCATCAAAACCTCTCAAAGTGTTTTTAAATTATTTATAAACTTTATCTTAAAAGATCTGATAACTGCACAAAACATTGAACATTACCTCTAGAAGTCTCCCCTATGGATTGTGAACTCATCAAAACCTCTCAAAGTGTTTTTAAATTATTTATAAACCTTATCTTAAAAGATCTGATAGCTGCACAAAACATTGAACATTACCTCTAGAAGTCTCCCCTATGGATTGTGAACTCATCAAAACCTCTCAAAGTGTTTTTAAATTATTTATAAACTTTATCTTAAAAGATCGGATAGCTGTACAAAACATTGAAATTACCTCTAGTAGTCTCCCCTCTGGATTGAACTCATCAAAACAACTTCTACCCACATGATTTTTATTTTCCCACAGCTCAATAGCAAGTGAAAATGGAACCTGAAATAATGTTTTTAATTAATCTAATTTTTAGTCGAATTAATTGAAAAAAATGTAATCAGGCTGATTTTCAGAACCTAAGGGTAAATTTAATTTAAATATGTTCCTATGGAATGGCTAACATGCCCAGTCACCAATTGCTGCCACTGTCACCCATCAGTTGTAAGTGGACTCTTCCAAATTGCTTAACAAACAATGTACATTTGCACTGACTCACACCACAGCACTCACTACAGTCTCATTAAAAAGATATAAAGTACAGCACTTTTAAAGTACTTATTTCCTATTTTACAGAAGTAATTAGTAAATTTTAGACTACTCCACTAAACTGGCGTGGTTTTATACACAAATCTGTTGAACTCAGGTACTATTGTTAAGATTATATGTGACAATTATGCCATCTAAATAAGCAGGGCGACAATGCCACTAAATATGAGCAAAAGTTGTTGTAAGTGGTCATGTGGTCTTTAATGGAACCAAATATGGTGGGATGGGGGGAGGAGTGTGTGTGAGTGAAAATGTAATAGCTATTGAAGTAAAATGTTTATTTTTGACAACACAATAAAGAAATACAAACAAAATCTAAACTGTGTTTAGTAAAGAAGTTACAATTACAATTTCACTGTTAAAAAAAAATTACTAAACTTTGTGTTAAGTAAGGTAGTAGCAATTACAATTTCACTGTTAAAAAAAACAAAAACAACACAGACCTTCGCCACCCCTTGCATGTAGTCAAATGACGTCCCATCAGCCGTGTAGCCTATGAGGTTGTACGCCAGCCCGTACTGGAATGGTCTAGTGGGGGATGATGTGGCCATTTGTTTGGCCAGTTCCAACAAGTTTTCGTAGTTGTCTGGGACTCGGTGGTTATGTTTAGATTTGGAATCTACAACACAATAAAAACAATCAGGTGGTTATGTTTAGATTTGGAATCTACAACACATTAAAAACAATCAGGTAGTTATGTTTAGATTTGGAATCTACAACACAATAAAAACAATAAAAACAATCAGGTAGTTATGTTTAGATTTGGAATCTACAACACAATAAAAACAATCAGGTGGTTTTGTTTAGATTTGGAATCTGCAACACAATAAAAACAATCATGTGGTTCTGTTTAGATTTGGAATCTACAACACATTAAAAACAATCAGGTAGTTATGTTTAGATTTGGAATCTACAACACAATAAAAACAATCAGGTAGTTATGTTTAGATTTGGAATCTACAACACAATAAAAACAATCATGTGGTTATGTTTAGATTTGGAATCTGCAACACAGTAAAAACAATCATGTGGTTATGTTTAGATTTGGAATCTATAACACAATAAAAACAATCAGGTGGTTATGTTTAGATTTGGAATCTACAACACAATAAAAACAATCAGGTGGTTATGTTAAGATTTGGAATCTACAACACAATAAAAACAATCAGGTGGTTATGTTTAGATTTGGAAACTGCAACACAATAAAAACAATCAGGCAATATGAACTTAATATCAATCATGGGTTCTGTTTAGTACAACAGAGGACAAAAAAAATGCACTAGACAATGTAAGCCTGGTATTAACCAAGAGTTTATCAATCAAAAACTGCTGATTTTCTAGCTTTCTTATCTCTATTAAAGCCCATATGATCTCTCAATACAATCTTATAACAATAGTTTTCTAACCTACAAGCTTAAAATATTATTGCTAATCATTTACAAATGGGTAACTTTTTTTTAATGGCAATTCATCACCATAAAAAATCATAGTGAGGCTTTTTAAATCTTAAACCAAAAATGGATAAAGAGATACAGGATTACAGCAATAAGATGCAGGCAGTTAGCCATGACTAAAGGAAATCAATAACACAATAACACGTGACTTGTTCGTGTTGAACATGTTTTAAATTTAACATCCCAATAAATGGCAAAAAAATCAATTTCCAAAGCCTCAAATTTTTAAAAATTGTATTATAAGAGTTACATATTAGAATTCAAGGACTATAAGTTTTAGAAAGCTCTCACAAATACATTTTTAATCCATCACATCTAAGAAAATAAATTAATCTCTTTGGCCTCAAACTTATAAAATTGTTCTATAGATGTTGTATACTTGATGATATATGAAGCAAAAAAAAAAATGAATGTAAATTTTGGAAATAGCAAATGAAAAAAAAACCAAACATGATCTTTAAACTTCAACTTACCAGCAAATGGAATGTATATGTGGCGAATCCCTGAGTGAAATGACACAAAGGCATCAAATTTAAATGTGTCACTCAGATGTTTAAATATTTCAGTTTCAGGTTCTGAAATATAAATAAAGGAAATCTCACAATTTCTAATAGATCTATATGCTGCATTTTCTACTTACACATTAAGGTACAGTTTTGATTTTAAAAAGTATGAACAAAGTTAAAGTTAACTTTTGTAAATAAAAATACATGGGTTTATTTTCCCTTTATAAAACCATTGCATTTTGTGGAAAATAATTTACTTTTTAATTACTTTGTTTTGGTGTTGGGAAAAAAAAAATAATTACATAATTAGCGGGGATTGATCAAGTGCAAATGTTGTAGGTATTTTACGGGTAAGCTTGGAGTATTATAATTGTTCATCAAATTGAAACAGGCGCGTTCGTTTAAGTGAGTGCAAAAGACTATGAATAAGTTGGGGTACTATAGTCGTTCATTAAGCTAAAACAGGTGATTCCGCCCCGGGCGTTTATGTTCGCGTTAGTGTTTTCTTTGTGTTTAGGTGGGTTTGCGTTAGTGGTTGCGTTTTGATTTGGTTCGTTTTTGTTCTTTCTTTTTTCGTTTTTGTTTGTGTTTTTTTGTTTGGGTTTGTATTTGTGTTTTTGGTTGGTTTTGCGTTTGGATTTGGTTTGTTTTTTCGTTGTTTTTTTTTTGTTGGTATTGGTGTTTGTGGTTGGGTTTGTTGTTAGGTTTTTGTTTTCGTTTGCTTTTTTGTTTGTTTTTTCTTTGTGTTTGTATTGGTGTTTGTGGTTGTGGTTGGGTTTGTTGTTAGGTTTTTGTTTTTGTTTGTATTTGTAATTGTGTTAGCGTTATGTTTGCGTTTTGTTGTTTTGGTTGGTTGTGGTTTGGGTGGGCAATGCCGGGTTTATGATGATTACTAAACACACAGGTAATGGTCTTTAACAGAAAGGTTTTTTTACAGAAGCCAGAGCAGGGCCTGGCCGGGACGGCTAGTAATTAATATAGCATATTTAACTATTTTTAAAAATATTTCTCTGGTGTGCAATATAATTTTAAAATTGAGGCTATTTCAAATTCAAAGTACCGCAGTAAATTTTTAAATAAGGTTTTTTTACAATCAGAATATTATTACGCTGGAAAGCTTACTGAATGCAGGTGACCTGTAAATGATTACAGTTGAATGTTTAAATATATGTGTTAATAATATCATTTAGTTCAGAGTTTAAAACCAAGCTAGCAATACCAGCACACACAAAACAAAAATTCTATGCAATACTGCCATAAAAATGTGTGAACCTATCAGCTTTACTAGATTTAACCAAACATACCTGAAAATGCATATGGTCCTCTGTACTCCCCATCGTGAGGATCTTTAGAGCTTCCATGGTCACCAAAACTCCAGTCAAAGTTTCTATTTATATCCACGCCAGCACTCGTCCCTCTCCAGCAGTAGTTTTTAGATTGTTCAATGTGTTCTCTACCGTCTGGATTCGCCATGGCCACAATGAAGAGATCAAAATTGTTGAGGACCCACGTTGAGTATGTATGGCTAGCAGTGCCTTGCAAGTTCTTGTCAAGCCCAGCCGTCAGATTTTTTATAAAATAAAACATGCTTTCCACAGGGAAAAACTCTCTGGCATGTTCCCCGTAGGCAAGAAAAATTTTAATACGATGTGGTGCTGTCTTTTCTGAAGAAAAATTGGATACCCTGATAAGAATTTGGGATTTTCCCATCCTAGATTTGTATTCTTCACTTCGGTACATGTATTCACCATATTTTTGCATAAGGCTTTTAACATGGTCCAAAATTTCTGTCAGGTTATGATATACAGAATAATCTGGTTCATATTTCTCAACTTGTGGGTTCACATCTAATCCAACATTTAATGCCAAAAATGTTGACAGTGTTGCAACACAAAAGGCTATGCTAGCACAGGAAATGGCAGCACTATAATATAATGAAGAATGTCTGTATGGATCAGCCATTGCATCATGGGAATGTGAAAGTTTCAGCAAATGAAAGTGCTTAAACTAAAACTGAAATGAAAATAAATTATAACTATAAATACTGGAGGTGAACATGAAGCGGCTAATTAATTAAGCAAAAATGGAGTTCTACCCCAGGTGTAGATCAGATTTATCTAAATTTCTACATAGTTCTAGTTAAGTATTAAGTAGGCCTAGGCAAATATTTAACAAATTGTCTACTCAGAGGAAGATTTCATCTCCCCCCCCCCCCCCCCCAGTCAGTCAGGCAGAAGATACAAAACGTAATAACTTAACCAGCTACGCAATGGGCTCAAATTGCAACAGGCGGGTCATTGGAGGTTGAGGATTCATAGTATAGTTTATCTAGTAAAGAAAGTTAAGTATTAAATTTTTTTTTTAAATAAATCTATATCAATAGCCTATTTCAATCTACTATTTAAGTATTTATCGGTATCGTCTCATCAAGACAAAACATAAGCCTAAACATTAAGTTGACAAGAAAAACCAGGTCATTGTTTGTAGCGCTATGCACATGGCACATTAGCATCTTCTTCAACTTCAGGCTATAATCGGCCAATATATATTTTAAAATTAATACAAAAATACATTTAGTCAAATTTAGTGTCTTAGGCTGGACCTACAACCTAGAGAGTAGAGATCAATTCAAATTTACTTCGCTAATGTCAATGATGCTTATGAAGTATTCCGACCTTACAAACGTACATTTTAAATCTAAATTCTAAAATAAAATTTGTAGGCCTAGTAAAATTTAAATCCTAAATATACACAATCTAGGCCTAGGGCCAATTAAAAATGATTGTAAAAATCTTTTTAAAAATCACATTAATCATTATGTCATTATGCAGATTATGAGACATGAGATGATTGTGCTGTTAGTCTGTTACCCAGATCTGAGATTGTGACGATTTCGGAGGCCCAGATCTTGATAAAGATTTTTCTAGAATCTGTAGGCCTGTCTATAAATATTAAATAATGTTCTATAGGCCTAGGTAGTGGTTGTAGTCTAGATCTAGAATCTAGACCAGTCTCAAGATCAATTAGGCCCTTAATTCTAAATTCCTAGTCCTAATGGGTAAATCTGAAAATCAGTGTGAAATCAACATCAACGGGAAACTACTAAGGAAATACGCATACAATATTGATAGTGATTTCCCTTGACTAGCTCTACTTCTTTAACTCCGTCATCGTAGTGCCTTAGTCTTACAGCCACAATGACCACAATACCTGCAAAGATAGTACCCATAGTGTACAATACGGATAAATGGATAGAAGAAAATAAACAATATTTTCTTCCTCCTGTCTGCAATAAATTGATGTAGAGTACATGGTCGATAGCCTAAAGATCTAGATCTAAAATAGATTTGTTCAAGATAGTATAGGCCCACTGCACTAGTCACGTCTATTCGTCAGTATTCGAGCTGACCCGCAACGTAGCATTTTTTTATACGCCGCCAGATCTAGCTAGTTGTTTTATTTCTGCTTATCAGCAATTCATAATAATTTGTGAATTCAACACAGTTCTATTATTAAAGCCTACAGCTAATGGTGGATCTTGGGAGCAGAGTTTCTTCCAGGCATCTCTTGGTGGGGGGGGGGGGGGGGGGGGGAAGAAGGGGTGTGTGATGACGCAAGGTTACGTCACTTGACCTATCCCACGTAACCTTGCGTCATCACAGGGGGGTATAAAAATGTCTTCCTCCCCCTCCCCAGACAAAATAGAATTTAACTTAAATAGAAAATATATACTTTTACTCCTTCCCTCCCCCAGAAAATGTAGTGCTCCCCTGAGGAAAAAGTCTGAAAGTAAAAATGCTTGGGAGGCCTTGTCCAGTGTCTGTCACCCCCTCCCCCCACCCCAATTTATATATTTTTAGTCCACCTTTCTCAAAATTGAAGGCAAGGTATGCCTACTGTGATTCTGAAAAAAATGCATTGCATTATAGTTGTGATGGCATGGTCATATGGTAGAGCATACAACTGCTAAGCTGAAAGTCTTTAGTTTGGATACTGAGCTCAAATCTGTAGGAGTTCTCTGTCCAGCCAGCTTTGATAGGTACCTGACTCACAATAGGGAAAGTAAAGGTGGCTGGTAATAATGCTGATCACAGTATCCTTTTGGGACGAGCAAGCAGGATTCCAATAATAGATTCTGCATGACTCAGAGATTCCGCATCATAATTGAGCAGTCAATTGATTGGAACTCACCACTATACATAAGTTCATTGATTATGAAAATGCTTATGCGGATCAAGATACCCTCTGGAAGCACTTACGCCACTACAGTATTCCAATGAAAACAGTAGACCTTATTAAAAAACACATTCGAGTGGATGTCCTGCAGAGTTGTTTATGGAGGATAACACTTAAAAATGGTTTTCAGGTGCAAACTAGAGTCCATCTAATATACCTGTGTCACCAATCTATTTCCTTCTTACTATTTAATGGATAATGAAGACAGCCATCAGGGGACATTGGAATGGAATTCAGGGGACTCTGTGGACATAACTTGACGCGCCCACAACAACAGCAGATGCCGGATAAAACTAATGTGGTACCAGACAAGTCAGAGCAGGCTAGACTTAACATCCACAAGGAAAAGACAAAAACTACTAAAGATGAACTCTACCAGCACTGAACAAGTTATGCTTAATAGAGGCCCTTTGGAGGGAGGAAGAGAAATCTTTTACCTACCTAGATAGTGATTAGTATTGTGGACCATCAGGGCAGAACAGATGCAGATGTTAAAGCAAGGATCTGCACAGTAAAAGCTGCCTTCTCACAGCAAAGTAACCTCTGGGCTTCAAGTGAGCTTTTCTAGACCACCAAGATGCACCTTTTTAACTCCAGTATAGAATTAGTACTGCTGTAGGGGGCAGAGACTTGCAGGATGAAAAAGACAACCATTGAATTGATAAAAACCAGACATTTATAAACAGCTGCCTTAGAGAAATACAAATCCATTTCATTGTTCAAACAATTTCTGTGGTGCTACTAGCTCGGGTGTAACCCCCATCCCCCTCCAACAACTTATCATTTTATGTTTTTTTTATGTGGTGTCACCCCATCCCCCTCCAACAACTTATCATTTTATGTTTTTTTATGTGGTGTCACCCCATCCCCCTCCAACAACTTATCATTTTATGTTTTTTTATGTGGTGTCACCCCATCCCCCTCCAACAACTTATCATTTTACTTTTTTTTTATGTGGTGTCACCCCATCCCCCTCCAACAACTTATCATTTTACATTTTTTTATGTGGTGTCACCCCATCCCCCTCCAACAACTTATCATTTTACATTTTTTTTATGTGGTGTCACCCCATCCCCCTCCAACAAATTATCATTTTACATTTTTTTTATGTGGTGTCACCCCATCCCCCTCCAACAACTTATCATTTTACGTTTTTTTATGTGGTGTCACCCCATCCCCCTCCAACAACTTATCGTTTTACGTTTTTTTTATGTGGTGTCACCCTATCCCCCTCCAACAACTTATCATTTTGCAGTTTTTCAATGTGGTGTCACCCCCATAAATGATGTCACCCAGTGCAGACCACACCCCCGCCTCTAGACACTACTGCACAGAGCTAACTATAATGTAAAATGTAAATAACTGCATGATTTGGTTTTAATTTTACTAGGCACAGTGATGGCCAGATGAAAGTTTTTTATGTTGGTGGTCCAAACCAACGGAAAGATTACCATATTGAAGAAGGGGAAGAGGTAAAAATCAGTTATCTTGATTTTTTCTAAAAACTGGATAATGAATAAATAAAAATGTGTTTAATTAATAGTATACCGGATAATATCTTTGATTGCTAATGAAAATGGAGAAAAAGAGACCAGCCTTCATGCTATGTCACATTAACTACTAGTGGCCTGTTATCAAGTGAAAGGGATAAAATTAACATTTTATCTGTGTATTTAGTTGACAACACAAGTTATGAAATTTAAGTATGCTAATATTGTTCCTAAAACATTTAAACAGCCATTATTTTTTTTTAATTGTTACCATTACTGGTTTGGTTCATCTTTTCTAGAAATTATGGTCAGTTTATAATTTTAAAAATTATGTGATTTTTAAGTAATTCCTTATGAAAATGTTTTGTATTTTGAAATGTATTAATAACTAGCCGTCCCGGCCAGGCCCTGCTCTGGCTTCTGTGAAAAACCTTTCCGTTAAAGACCATTACCTGTGTGTTTAGTAATCATCATAAACCCGGCATTGCCCACCCAAACCACAACCAACCAAAACAACAAAACGCAAACATAACGCTAACACAATTAGAAATACAAACGAAAACAAAAACCTAACAACAAACCCAACCACAACCACAAACACCAATACAAACACAAAGAAAAAACAAACGAAAACAAAAACCTAACAACAAACCCAACCACAAACACCAATACCAAAAAAAAAACAACGAAAAAGCAAACGAAAACAAACCAAATCCAAACGCAAAACCAACCAAAAACACAAATACAAACCCAAACAAAAAAAAACAAAAACGAAAAAAGAAAGAACAAAAACGAACCAAATCAAAACGCAACCACTAACGCAAACCCACCTAAACACAAAGAAAACACTAACGCGAACATAAACGCCCGGGGCAGAATCGCCTGTTTTAGCTTAATAAACGACTATAGTACCCCAACTTATTCATAGTTTTTGCACTCACTTAAACGAACGCGCCTGTTTCAATTTAATGAACAATTATAATACTCCAAGCTTATCCGTAAAATACCTAAAACATTTGCACTTGATCAATCCCCGCTAATTATGTAATTATTTTTTTCCCAACACCAAAACAAAGTAATTAAAAAGTAAATGCTTTTCAACTAATGCAATGGGTTTCATAAAGGGAAGTAATTGTGTTTTGCCTAATTTATCAAAGGGAAGTAAGCGCTATAGGACTAAATAAAAACATAATTAGAATTTTTGTAAAAGATGATATTTTTTTTAAAACTTGTGTTTAATGAACATGCCGACAATTATTACTATAATTTGAAAAATGAAAATGATTTCCCAATACTTTTAATAGTAATTTTTTAACTCATAAATTTAGACAAACGCGCACGATAATTGATCTAACACTTAAATCCGTAGAAATGCCAACGACAAACATATGCGTTACAGAATTGAGCTTTATATATTAGATAATAAAAGTCAAATGCATGTTCTATTTTTTTTTTCTTCTGGACAGTTGTTTTACATGTTGAAAGGAGACATGTGTTTGAAAGTTATTGAACATGGGAAACACAGGGATGTTGTCATCAAAGAAGGAGAAGTAAGAAAACCTTACATAGCTTTCAAATTAGGAATTGTGTATGTAGATATGACTAATTATTCAATACCAATACATATTTGTGAGATGATTTTGTTTCAACAGTGGTTCTTGTTACTGAAAGTTTAATATGAACATCTTTTATAATAAATTTTTATTTACATATTTGTAATAATTATTATTTCCGTGCACATTTTAAAAGATTTTCTTATTGCCTGGAAAAATTGCACATTCTCCTCAAAGGCATGAGAACACAATTGGGCTGGTGATTGAGAGAGAAAGGGAGAAAACTGAGTTAGATGGTTTAAGGTAGGGCTGCACATTTTCATAACCTTTTGTTTTCATACACTTTTTTTTTCTTCAATAAAAAACACTTTTGAAAACTAAATATGTTTGGTAGTTGATGATGGATGCAGATTTTTTTTAAAAATTTCTTTACATTTATTCATTATTTTTAAAAATATTTCTTATATTTGTCAAATGGTTGCTGTTTTTTTTTTTTAAGTTAAATTATTTGTGACTCTGGAATACCTACAGATATTACCAGACAGTGGATGGAGAACCCACTACAGACTCCCTATATGAAGAATGGTTCTATTGCACAGATCTAGGCACAGAGCTTGGTCCTGTCATAAAAAGGTATTTCATAACTCATTTAAAAACAGTACAGAAGGTAAGAATTGGCGACACTGCCATTGTATTAGTATTATATCCCACTTTATACCTTCATTTTCATTGTAATGCTAGCTTTTTTTTTCCAGAAAAATATAGATTGTTATTTTGAAAAAAAACCTCAAGAAAAATTCACAATACTGACCTTACGTTATTATATTTTATAAACCTACATATTTTCACGTCTCCAAATATTGTTTCATAATGTTGCAAAATATTTATAAAGATGGCAACCAAATGATAAATATTATAAAATTACTGCTAAAGTCTTATTGTTCATGAATAGTCAACTTTTGATTGTAAATAATATTATGATCATAATAATAGTTGTTATTTTTATCTGTAAAATACTTCTGATTTTGTGACCAAAAGCATTGATGTGGATCTAAGATGATTTTTCTACACTATTTCAAATATATTATTTTCTAACTTAAACATTTTTATTCATTAAGACATTTTACAACAACACATGGTGTATTTGTATCTGTCCATACAGATTTAAAAGGATTGCTTTTCATTTTTCAGCCTGTATTGAATTGAAAGTAATTTAATTTAATTTCCAACACAATTTTCTAATTTTAAATCATCATAAAAAACCAGGGTAAAATTCTTGGCATGGGTTTATTTTAAAATTTAATTTTTTTAAACTTAGCAACAAATGTTTAGAAATATGCTGTATGAATTAAATTATATTTGTTTTTGTTTTGAATAAAGGTATTTTGAATCAGAACAACACAAGACAGGAAAGTCTATTCCAGGTATGTTAAATACCTGATATCTGTAAATTTGAAGGTAGAATTTAAATGACTGTTTATTTATGCTTTTTGTCTAAATGCTTAAATGCTTTGAAATTTTTGCTTTCAGATGTTTTTAATCTTATTTATAATGGAAACAAATTAATGAACTTGTGTAAGTGGCTGGGTTATGTTGCTGGTTGCACCAATGTTTAAATAATTAGACCAGGGGTCAGAAATACTTTCACATAATAAGTTTTTTTTTTTTATTTTTTAAATACGGCTAAATATGTGTAGGCAGCCAGATATACAGTTATATTTTCAGTTGCAAAATGTCAGGATATTAAAACAAAATTTATAAAAATAAAACTCCTTGTATTATAGTATTAAAATGTGTATGCTGTGGTAATTAAAAGAACTTAATTGATTTATTGTAAGAAACTGCACATGGGTGTTACCAACCACTGTGTTCAACTGTTGCAATCACACAAATTTTATTTTTTGCTTTATTTGTTTGGTGAAAAGTTTTTTGTTGTGTTTTAATCTTGAACAATATATTTGATTGTTTAAAAAAGTATTTTCTTTCCTTAGCTTAAACTGCACATTATAATGTTTGAATTCAAAAGCAGAATTTAAACTCCATAGGTTTAGATGTTTTTAAAATAAAACTTCATGTAAATTCTTTGAATCTTATTATGTTTATGAAATAGTAATAATTAAAAGTTGTATTGCTATTGTCTAGAAAAAAATTCACTTCTTTATAAGAAACTGTATAGTTATTAGAATACATAGCCAAGGCAATGTGTGGTACCTTACTTGAAAGTGAACTTTTTTCTTTGTTATAAATCTCTGTCTTGTATACATCTTGGTTACCAGGAACCATTCCAGAGAACCCTCCAATAATCCTGGACAGTAAGACCAGTCTTCAAGATCCTTTTAACCTCCACAAGTGGATTGAGGATCATAGGGAGGAGATTGATAGCAAAGGCTTTGTCCAGTTGTTTGGGGATAATAATCAATTCTCAGTGAGTACTGATTGCACTATTTAATGTTGTCAAGTAAAGAAGTATGGATGTGGAAAATTAAACCCTTAATTGGTAATATATTTGTCTGTATTATTTTTTATTATTATTGTTAATATTATTTTTTTTATTATTATTTTTAAACGTTTTATTATAATCATTATTATTATTATGATTGATATTATGGTTTCATTGTCTGAGTATGATTTATTCAGAGATGAAACAGTTGCATTTTTTGTAACAAATATTACATCAAATAATGATTGGGAGATAGTATTTACACTTCAGTTGTGATATTGTTGTTGTTGTTTTACATAAGATGTTCTTGGTAACACAATTTTTGACAAGGAATACTGAAAGGTTCTGGGTCTGGCTAGAAGGGCCTTGCTAGTTCTTTGCAAAGCCAGGGTTTGAGATACTGCAGTGATACTATTAAGTAGCCATGAATTATTGAACCATGTTAAAAAATACCAATATTACTGCACAATAAATATGAATGTTTTTGTAAAAATGTATTTTCAGGTCAAAGTTTATGGCAAGGGAGAAAACACAGACCAGTGTGATAAAGCAGAGACATGGATTTGGCAGATTGTCAGTAGCTCTAGTACTCTTTTAGTTTTTTATTTAGGGTTTTTTTTTATCTTTACACACATTTTGACCTTTTAGTTGTCCAAGAAGTGTTTTATTTTTAATAATATATGACCACATAGGAAGGAAGGTCAGAGGTCAGTGTTGATGGAAGTCTATACAAGCTTGAAACCAATGACTCCATGCTAGTTCCCACTGGGCTGAGGTATGTTGTTGTAAGATCAAATAAACCATGCCATCAAATTGAATTTACAGCTTAAAGTTGTTGTTTTTTTTTGTTTTTTTTTTACTTTGTTTAGTAGAAATGTTGTTTAAAAAGTTTGATTTCAAAAATAATTTTTATTACAATTTAAGTGACATTAAAGTTTAATTTATTTACAGGTCATTTAGATTTTTATCAAACATCTAACCATTATTTTACTTAGCCACCCCCTTCTCCTTTAACTTATTACCTCTTTATAAAAATTTACAGATTTTTATCTGTACTAAGATGCAATTATATATGTTGAGTAATTATGATTGACAAGTCTTCAAATATAAAAGCTATTGAATGAGAAAAAAATATTACTACTCCTTAGAAGATGAATATGTTTTAAAATAGATATTTTTTTAACTTTTGCTTTTTATATATTCAAATTCAAGCTTAATTAACTCTTTTTATTGTAAATTACAAAGCAAAAAATTGTAACAATGTTTTTTAACCTCAACACCAGGTACACAGCCACACGACAGGAGGGTAGTATCTCTCTCATCTGTTACCAGGATCCAACTCGCAAGAAGTCCTAAGTGTCTGCTCAAAGCCCCGTCACTGTTTTAATGTTGAGATAAATTTTGCCTTTACTTATAATTCGTTGTTGAATATAATTGTTATGATACCACTGTCACTAATTACAGACCCCAGCAGCTGACCAGGCATGACATCTTAGACTAAAGAACCGCACGACTGACCTGGAGTGACATTTTAGACTACAGACCCCAACTATTGACCGAACGTGACATCTTAGACTAAAGACCCTAATTACTGACTGTGCGTTACATCTTAGACTAAATATCACAGGTAACATTCCCACTGGTGTTGGCTTGGGTCACCACCCATGTGAGAATATCGCCAGTTGTCAGTGGTCTTGAGTTGTCGCTACTGGTCAGTTTGTTCAGTTCTGTAATTGATATCCATTGTACCTGTCCAGATCCTAGCAATATTGTTACACAGTTTACAAATATAACAAGTCCTTACTGCTCAGAAGATATGTTTAGTTTATATAACATGTTTTATTCTTACCATAATTCATGAGTCCCTGTTAAATACGTCCTTGTGATTTAAATATGTATGATTATTTTACTAACACCTCCTGGCCGTTATGTTGATGTTACATTGATAGTTCCACCATTTGCGCCTTATGTAATGTTGGTACTTTTCAAACCAAGAATATTATAACTTTACAAATTTGAGATGGTTGTGGTTTTACTTCATAATCAGTAACTACCTTTTTTTAGTATTTGTAGTTATACACATTTTTTCATTCAAGATATGATTTAATCTTGATAATATTTAACCACTCAAAAAGCATAACTCTAACTGGTTAGAACATTTAAACCTGCTGAAGAGCATAAATCTAAGTGATAGAAATGTGATTGTAGAAGATTTGTGTTTGTAATTATTATGAGAAACATTGATTAAGAGGGCAGCACTGTTTCTGTAATTTAAATACTGGGCAAGTAAAATAACTCTTTCGTCCTGATAATCTATATGGCAGATGAAAAAGGATTCACCTGTTTCTGTGACTTCTGCATATGTTCCATGCCTATCTGTCTTTACTTTCCCTAAATTTTTAGTTAGTTACCCATCACACTTGGCTGGTCCCAGGAAGGTCTCATGGACTCCTGTCATAGAACCAAACTTGAAACTTTTGTTTTGTAGTGATGCACTGATGACTTTCCCTTAAGCAAACATTTACAAAAACTAAATTTGAAAAAAAATTCAAATAGCCGATTAATATGGGCCATATTATTTTTTATCAATTAAATATTTTACCAGTAATGTGTTACCAAAATATGTTATAATTATTAAAACCACTGATGATGTAACCACATTTTTTATAGGTCTACAATTAATTACTGAATATTATTTGCAATATATTGTTTTCTAATTCACTACTTATAACTAGGTTACTTTTATTTTCTCTTATGTAATCGCACCCATATATTGTTAATATACAAATTAAAACTGTTCTCCTACTATTAAACTTACAGAGAATAAATTGTTTAATTTAAAAAAAAACACTATAGGGCCTACTTTATTAAAATGACTTATTGAAATAACTATAAAACTTAAAAATCATCATTTGCAATTTTTTGTTTTTTTAAATTATTTCGTATGCAAAAAGAATTTGTCTTTAGTTGACCTAGCTGTATGTGATTCAGTATCTGTATTTGTGACAAGCAGCCTACTACTACTAGTCATTTACCTAATTTTTCCCTCAATTATTTGACCATGCATTTAATTGTTTTAATAATATTCAAGGGTGCAACTTATATTTTGATAATTGAAAAAAACAACAAGCCTGAAAGGCATAGACTTAGAAACTTACAAATATTTCATTGTACTATTTTTATTTTATTATGATGTTGGTATATACTAAAATTGTAAGCCACAAACTAAAAGCATAAAACTACCACTCCTTTTTACTTGTTTTATATCATTTCATTTACAACGTAGATGACTGCCAAAATTGTAAACCACAAACTTAAGATATTTCTCAAGACTTACTCAAATTTATTTTTTATTATGTTTATAAAAATCACATTCATTCATTGAAATTCCAGTCTATATTTTTATATTATATTATTGTGGTATGTAGCACATGTAACAATGTATAGATTCTGATTGTTAAAGTGTAACCACAGTATTATTATGTGATTGTTTAAATCATACCGGTAATGGAAATTTTTAGTCTTAATAACATTTAATTGGTATTAGGGTGAAATGAACCACATTTTAAATCAACAAATTGAATCAACATAAAATAAACTGGAAAAATTAATCAATTTGTCTTGTTTTTTTTTGTTTTTTTTTTTCATTTTGTCCTGCAAGAGCCATCTATGTTGACTGTTTGTTTCTCAGTATGGATGTACAGCCTATAGCTTGCTACAATAGTGAAATTAAATATTTTTTATCCCAATCTACTGAAAGAGCTTTAAAAAAAAAGTACACACTGTATCAGTATTAATAGGCCTTCATGTATCCCAGTAAAATTACAATACCTATAAATGTTTATGATGTGTAGTATTCAAAAATGGTCTTGTACCAGTTGCCCTTATAGAAATGTGAAAAGCAGGCATTTATTATAACAATCTGCATTATTTGGATAAAGATGATGTAGCTTTTCCTATAGCCTTTTTATGTGTATGTAGGTTGTAGGTATTTATTTATTTATATATATATATATATATATATATATATATATATATATATATATACATATATATATGTGTGTGTATATAATTATACAGACATATATAGGCTTATATATATATATATATATATATATATATATATATATATATATATATATATATATATATATATATATATATGAATTCTAGACATGGTATCCTTATTCAACCCCCCCCCCTCACACACCCTTGCCTTCCCCCTGTAATTAAGTGGTGTCAGTCACCACATCCTGATCTGCACACAGTGGAGCTCCTGCGGTTTCTTTTTTTTTAAATGGCAGCCACCATTATGCACGACAGCACGTTTGACCTTTACGAAACAAAACACGGGGATCAATCGCACCGGCCTGACCCCCGGGAGAAGTGCTGGCGTCAAATCTTGTACACCGCGAACCGGAGTGTCTGCACTGCGGACGTTATTGACGTGTGTGGGAGACAATGTGGGGAGGGGGGGGGGGGTCGGACGTAAGAAGGTAGGGCTTATATGGGGTAGTTCAAACGTAATGTAATGGGAGGGGGGGGTGAAATGATGATAGATTGATGATCCGAGGTCACGACTTGTGTACAGTGTGATGAAGAACGATTGGTGTTTAGTTTCGTTGTTTTCTTTTTCTTTTTTTTTTTTACGTATTGAAGGATTAGACATAATATAATTAAATTAAAAACAATTACCCCACCCTCAACATCCCCACTCCACTAAGGCCGGCGCTTGTGTAGATGGAGTCAATTAAAAACGTTCTCATTATTTTGTGTTTAAAAAAATAAGCTACCAAAAGATGATGTAAGAATAAAAGACAAGGAATGAGTTTACTTAGCAGCCCTACTGCTGTCTGTTAATTAACACGGAACTTAAACACGACCCCCTTCCAGAGGCGTAGCGACCCATTGCGGCGCCCGGGGTGAACTATCAATTTTGCGCCCCCACCCTTTCATGTATATATTTTAGTTATTTATGTTGGTGAAAAAGCGCTTTTTACCCGCATCAATGAATAAGTGCGCGTTCCCTAACTATGAGTTAACCCGATAGGTAATGTGCGATCTATCATGTCTATCATGATAGGCAGAAGAACAAAACTGGGCGGGGGACTTAGTATCTTTACGGGATTTTTTTTTCAGAATATTTGCAAATGTTACACACCACAAAAACAAGACATTTTTATCCGTCCTAATTCGTATAACGTTAAATGGCATTTCATAGACTATACCACCCCTCAAAATAATATCATATTCCAAGGTCCATCCCTCACGCACCTTAAAAGAAACAAGCTACACGTTTTGTGATTGTAAACAATTAAGTTTGAATCATTTCATTTTAGAAAAAAAAAACTAACTCGTTTCATCACCTAGGGACAGTCGCCAAGTCGTAAATAAAAAGATAATATATACTAAATCAATTTTCTTATATAAAATATTCCACGAAACAGCCCCCTCTTACTTATCAGATCTATTTTCTTTTAATATAAAATTAAATCGTCGTCTTAATTTACCATTCCCATATTCAACTTTTTTTCCAAAAACATAGCTTCGCCTACTCTGGTTCTAATTTGTGGAACAATCTTCCTAATAAAATAAAGCTATCTAGATCTGAAAATATATTCAAATCTAAACTAAAACTAAAATTATTTAATGACCTAACTGACTCATTGTAACATTTCTCATTCATCTATTATATTCTCTTTTTTATCTCATTATGTATGATAACTATGTAACATTGTTTCTTTATTCCACATTTTTAGTGCTATGTTACTGGTATGTGTTATTGAATTGTTTTATTTGTTTAAACGGCCAATTTGAAAAAAGGCCCTTGTGCCTACAATTGTAACCGTTGTTTGAATAAATTTGAATAAATTTAATCTTTGTTTCGAAGGGGAAAAATGTCTCTTGCGATAGCGCATTTATCTATTTTGATAGAAGAAATTTTCCACATTAAAAGGAATAAAGAAAAAACTAAAAGTACGTGTTATATAATTTGATATACCACCACTCTACCCAATATAATACATCATGACAAAACGATAAACAATGCCCTACCCCCTACGGGTAATATATAAAGGTGCACGATTCCGAATATAGTTTCCCGTGATTGTCCTCCTTGCATACACGTACTTTGATTTAAAAAATGGATTATTATCGTTACTTTTAAATGTGCTTAGTTTGGCGCCATGACACAAGAGGAGGGGTGGGATGTGACACTCAACTGAATGGATGTCAGTCTTACAGAGAAACACTTTTTGGTGGGTAGTTTTCATTTCATGTTGTAGTCTGACACTTCCATCAAGGAGGTGAGGGGGTGTAACATTGAAAACTTGACTGAGAAAGATCTAACATATCATACATCAAGGGGTGGGATGGGGTGTGGTGTAACAATGAAAACTTTACTGAGAAAGAAATGGTTTTATCTGATAGAGTTAATTATAGATCGATAGTTTAGCAGATTCATACTTTACTACACAGTTTTCATCAAATTGGTTGATATTTACAAACGTGCACAATTTCGCGGAACCTTATACAATTTTATTTTAATCGGGAGGGGGTGACACTGCTGAAAAGGTTGCATATTTTAAGGAACAAAAAAATCTGTTTTTGTCAGTGATTATATTTAGGGACGGCGTGGTCTGGTGGTAGAACTTACAACTTTACGAAAGTCTAAGAGTTCGGATCACGGGATCGAGTTTGTAAGACATCCCTGAGTCCACCCAGCTCTGATGAGTATCTGACTTAAGTTAGAGAAACTAAGGCGGCTGACCACACTGCCCACTCATGAGTCTGGGCATATTATTTGGGTTCGAATCTGTAGGACGTCCCTG